GATCATATTCTAACATTTCATCATATTGAACTAAATAACATTGATTAGTTTTATGTACATCTGCTCACCTGTCTAATAAAGTACATGGAACACTCACGTCTCAAGTCGAAGTTAGTCGCGGACGTGGAGCTCTCGGCATCTCGAAAGATTTTGATCTTCGTTCTAGTCCTCTTTTTGTCTCAAAGTCTGCTTGTCATGGTCCAAAATGTTTGAACAAAACAACAACAGCGTGAGCGTCCTGCTAAGCATAACCCAGTTGTCCACGTCTGTCGCCATGGTTACTATGGCAGTACGAGCGGAAACCGAGGCTAACGCGGATATGACGCCATTGACTGGCGACTCCTCACCCCATCTCACACGTCCCGTTTTCTTGGTTAAAATCGCAATTTTCTCACGATTTACAAATAGTTGGAAACATTGGGGATATTGTAAGTAATCAACTAAACAAAATATATTACATTGGCCTAGTGGTTTTTGGATATTTTACTGCAAAAATCCTACATATTGTACCTTTGAATATACTCACACAAAGTGGAGTTATCTGGCAGCACTCGTAAGAACTCTTGTGAGCAGCGAAACATGCTCACATCTCAGAGAACGTGACTGTGCTTTGATAGCAGAGCCAATACTAGTCATAAACAGAAATAATAACAAAAGTGTAGTGGGAGGCATTTATATTGCGTAGGATGAGCCAGGCTTCTCATTTCAATTGTTTCTCAAGAGAAATTCAAGCAGGAAAAGCGTCTGGTGATGCGAAGTGTTTCTTCTGCTGTGCTGCTTTGGTGTTTTGACTTTCTATTTATCCTGCATTATCATTGGCGTTTTCTTTTTTCAGACTACTCTTAGCGGGACCTGCCCTCCCTCAGGCCTTTTTATCAGTGACTCAGGAAGCCACTCTACTGCTTGAGAACAGCTGTGGTGCAACATAGTCTTATATTACAGATGGCCTTGAATCTCCCTCAAACACTGACCTGAGAGCAGTTTATCTAATAAAAAGCCTTTGAACTTACAATCCCTCTAAAATACAAAGCTAATGCAGAGTGCACGCCCATTACTTTATCTTGGTGATAGTGCGGTTGCGGGTATGATAATAATAATAATAATAATAATAATAATAATAATAATAATGGCCCGTGCATCGAGAGCAGGTTTATGTTGATTTCTTGCGTCTATGTCTGGGCCTGTTGACTCTCCAACCCAGCTGTTCTTCCTGACTCATGGAAAATCACAGAGAATACTTACAAAGCTAACATCAATGAACAAATCCTGCATAGAAGGAAATCTAGATACTTGATTCAAGTTGACATAATGATCGATAGTTGTCAATGAAACAAAGTTAACTTGAGTTCAGCTTTTACAAGCTTATTTTACCAGCTACATCAATCTGGAATCTTTTTGTGTAGAAATTAATATTTTTATTTAGCAAGGATGCCATTAGACTAAATTGATCAAATGACAATCTTAATATTACTGTTTTTACTAGAGCTGGGCATTGCCACAAATTTCACGATTTGATTCAGTATCGATTAATTGGGGCCTATTTGGTACGGTATGAAATTTCTTCAAGGAAAAAAATCTCTCTCAACTAATGCTGTAAACTGTAAACAGGGAGTCAGTTGGTACATTACTATAGTATTGAAGGTTGAAATGAACTGATTTGTAGGCCATTTAACATGTAAATTACGCATAAGGAAAATTGACATTTTTAATGACACAATTATGTTTCAAATTTTTTTTTTATAATAACATTTAAATGGTGGCTGTCATAAAAACATGACTGATTTATTAAAAAATACTTTAATTTTGAGAAACAGGTTCAAAGGTTAGTTCACCCTAAAATGAAAATTAAGTCATAATTTACTCACCCTAGTGTTGTTCCAATGCCGAATGCCCTTCGTTCTCTTTCAGACCACAAAAGAATAATAATAAAAAAAAAATGTCCCGCTCACGCTCGTCCATATAATATCAGTGAATAGCAACTAGCATCAAGCTTTTTACAAAAGACGCTAAAGTATCACAGATTGGTCCGATGCTACACGTATCATATATTACAATTGTTCTGGGGGTATACGATAGGGATTGGTAAAAAACAAACTGAAATTTAATGTATTATTTAACAAAAATACTAGTTACAGCATGAAATAAACATAATAATAGTTACTGCTTAGAGCATGAAATAAACATAAATGAACATCAGAATATAGGCCTATGTTGAAATGCAGTACAAAATGACCAAAATACATATTATGTCACATGTAATTGTTTAAAAATTGACATCTTTAGGCAATTGAAACACGGATTAAGCAATGTCACGTAAAATTACATTTACCTCATAAAAAGCCAATCAAAACTCGTTAGTCAGCTAGGAAAATGAACTCAAGAGAAGAGCATTTTGCTAAATATGCACTATATTGCATTTTCATATTTTTACTTAATTTTCATTTTAGGGTGAGCTATCCCTTTAAGTCCCTAAAATATTCCTGACTTCAAACATTTGAACAGTAGTGTATCAAAAATGCAGTTTGTCATTAGCTTTTAAAATATGACCATAAAAAATGTAGGCTATAACAAACCAGGTGCAATGGTGAACTCAATTCAGAACATTTGTTTCCATCAGAAACTAATATTAATCCAAGTAACATTTTAAAGTGTATAACATAATTATGTGATGAAGGTATTACATTATGTGATCAGCCCTTTAAAAATGGGCCGTGCACCAAACAAGGTTGAGCACCCCTGTCATAGTGAGGGATGTACAGGTGGTGTTGGGCTGATCAGCAAGGCAATGCAAATTGTTGTAGATGGCAAAACCGGGGGAATGAGCTCATGAAATGAAATTAAATGAAACTGTCTCGTTAGTGTGTTCTGACAGATGCAACCTCCTCTCTCCCGCTATCCATCGTGTGTCTCACCAGGTGTGACGGAGCCTCTGTAGACTTACGTAAGATTTTATTTTGGTATTGATTTGAGCCTAGAGCAGAAAGTGGAATGATCGATCACGCTCCTGTGTATTTCCTATCAGCAGTTAAGAAGGAAACAGAGGAAGGAATGGAGCAAAATAAGGCACAGAGAGATGAAACAAAAGCTCAGCAAGGAAAACAATAGTCCTTGGCTCCTTTCTTTGACTGTGGTGGAAAGGAGAGATATAAATAGCGGGATGGGGTATGTTTAAATTTGGCAGCCTAAGACGGTCTGAAGCAGGTCGCTGGTGAGAGGATGGGTTATGTTGCACATTGGGAGCAGGCGGGCTTACGATCCATCTGCCTCTCTGTGGGGAGTGGGAGGTGCTCGGTTAAATAGTGGGTGTGGTCAGATCTTCATAACGTCCTGGAATCTTTTCATCAGGCAGAAAGAAGCCCAGCTCCCCTCTAAGCCTTGGCTTGCATTTAGATCTGCTGATGTTGTTTTGTTAATGTGCTTTATCTTTTAGCAAAGTCTCATGATCCTTCAGAAATCATTGTAATATGATGATTTGGTGCTCAAGAAACATTTCATCAAATGTTAAAAACTGTTTTTTTTTTCAGGGTTCTTTGATGAATAGAAAGTATTTATTTGAAATAGAAATCTTTTGATCAATTTAATGCATCCTTGCCGAATAAAAGTATTAATGCCGCCTTCTCCTCCTCCTTCTTTAAAATAGGCTTACATACTGACCCCAAATTTTGAATGATATTTATCAAAGTTGGAAGTGGCTAAATCTGTTTATATCTGTGGGAATGTTAGTATGCAAAAAGTATCCTTTTCTACACCTCCTCTAAGGCATTTCATACTCCACCTCAGCTGATGTGATTTGTCTGTGTTTCAGTCCTTTATTTCAATGGTGTCATTAGCATAATTAGTCATTTTCTTTATGGGTGAGAACAAAGGATTAAGACATTTGTTAGATATAGTAGATCTAGTCAAGCCTAGCTGCTTAAATACATAAATCGAGAGGGCAGGACTAAACAAATGACAGGAGATAAACTTTAAAAGTGAAATTACACATTGCAGTAAATTGCTAAAATAATGACCGTTTTCAAACCGGTTTCCCATACACTCCCCTTATTTTCCATTGGTAAGACAATACAAGTTGTCCCACACTATACTGAAACTTGTCTTGTGTTTGGATTTAGGTTTTACATTTTCATTTGACATAGTAGAGGGATGCCAAAAATTGCACCATTATCTGGCTTTAAGAAGTCAGAAAATTGCGATTGTGTTGATATGGCGTTAGCAGGCCTGTTCTGTCTACTCTCATTGAACAGTTCTCAAGTCTCAACCCCACCCATGACGAGGAAAGTTAAGGTTTTGGGTGTGACGTGTGCAGTCCAGTTGTTTTGTGACAATCTTCTCTGTGAATAAAAAATGAAATCAAATTGTTGACCATTGCAAGGAAACATGTTTAATAGAACTGGAAAAGGAACGCTGATGGTATTGTCATAAAAGGTTGAGAAAGGAGTAACATAAATGAGATGTTAGGGATTTACCTATCCTTTTTTATAAGAATAATTTGCACTACTCATTCAGATGCTATTGCTGAATTCGGAACCACATACTACTCTTACTACTTCTGCCATAGAAATGTATTGTAAAATTAGTAGTAAACTAGTATGTGTTTCTGAATTCAGTTTGAAGGATCATATTTACATACAACCTTTAGAGTAATATGTTAATGTGTAATAATTCTAATACTAGTATAGCCATACTTAGAGTAGTATGGGAGTATGCTATTTTGGATTCACCTGAAATTTAGGATGTTTTTTCAAACACAGTTTGCTGCATTGCTCATTCAGACTCTGTCTAGTTTGTTACCCATAATCCTTTGATCGACTCATTCAGACTGTTGGGAGGTCATTTAATTAATTGTACATTTCTTGTTTCCTTTTTCTTTTTTTTGTGATGCTTTGAATTAACAATGACATTGTATGTTAATTGAGCTTATTAAAGAATTTTGTGTATTATAATATTCAGATTTAAATGTATTTTTCTCTGTTTGATCTAATGTTTTTTTCCATCTTCAG